TTTGTTTACATGTTCAGTTTCAAATGCAAAACTTGTGTTTGTGCAATATGCTGTTTATGTTTTTGTGTGAGAATGCTTCAACTTTTTAATACTGGTATTAAATAATTACTATTTCACAGAGCACTGGTATCCTGCCATTTGTGTTAAATTGTATTGGATAGTTACTGAAAATGGCTTAATATGGCACAGCCCCACCTAGAATATTTTTCATCAGCCGCCACTGCAGATGACAGTATGGACCAGCAGAGTATGACCATCATTAACCCTTATGCTGCTTTGGAATCATCTCTCTTTTTGTCCCTGATCAGGAATCCCGTGAGGGCCAGTACGGGGAGGAAGAACAATTACAGCAACCAAGAACTGTTTCAATATGCATGTGAATTTTATTTATAAGTCGGAATTCTTTTTAAAAATGTGTAGTTATACTTCAATTATTCAAAGCTCTGTTTACAATCAAGCTAATTTCAGGGCAAGATATCTTGTTTTTCTTTGAAATACTGTTACACATTATTACATATATAGATGTAATAATCAGTTAAAAATACCGATATTTTATTTCCATGGCCTAGGAAAGTTCAATCAGTGTTTATGAACATGAGCTACTCTCTCCCAAAGCCAGAAACCAGAGAAGTAAGTCTCAAACTTCTGATGCCATCAAGTCTGACATCTGGAGCTGCTCCATAGACAGTGAATTAGGGGTGTAAATCACCAGCTTCATCACGATACGATATTATATCAATTTGTTTGGATGACGATACGATGTTTGCCGATATCACAAAGTCTGTCACGATACGATTTTGATTCGATTTGATTCAGGAGCCTGCAATAGATATGACGCAATATCATATGCCCATCTAACACAATCATTTACATCAACTCACAAAAACAACTAGAATATGATTTGACCATTTTATTTCTGAGCTCTGTTTGTTGTTTGAGCAGAGGTGCGCTTGCCCAGAAATGGTGACACAGATGTTTTCATTTTGCATCGATATAATCAGATCGTTAATCAATGAATCGATGTATTGATGTGGATCGATGTATCATTACACCCCTACTGTGAATGGGAGCCTGATTTTGCCACCTGATCTCATAGAAATACATTAAATGGAGCTAAAGCTCAATGTTTAAGTCTTAAGCGCTGGCAACACAAAAACAATACCAATTCAAAATCAATGGGGATCTTTTGTTCTGTTGGACACACAAATTGAGTATAAAGAGCGAGCAAGTCTGTAAAGGATGTGTAGGAGCGGTGGTGCATGGGTCAAATAAACATGGACTTTAAACCAGGAGACAGCTGTTCTTGCCCCATGTTTAACCAAAAGTAAATGTAGGTACATACCTGCATTCCACCATTTGCCTCACTGATACCGTCCACAAGTGGTTCACATCCTGCTTCACTGGATGAACTGAGTATGTTGCATTGGGAGAGGCAAAATCACAAGTTCACTATGTCACCTGTGGTGTCTCTCAAGGCTTGGTGCTGGGTCCTACCCTCTTCACTCTCTATATGCTCCCCCTCAGCTGTGTTATCAGCACGCATGGCATATCATTCCATTGTTATGCTGACGACACATAACTCTACCTCCGGACAGATCCCACCTTCTCTGCACTCCTGCCATCTGCCTCACTCATTACCTGCCTGAAGGAGATAAAGGCGTGGATGAAGCCCAAGACTAAAGCCATCCTTGTTGGCACCCTACACCAGGTCAGATCATCCACCCTCACCAGCATCTCTTTCTCTGGTGCGAACATCCCCCTGTCTACTTCAGTCACCAACTTCAGCGTTAAAATGGACCTCCACCTTACATTCGAGACCCACATCAAACACCTGTGCAAGACTTCCTTTTACCACCTCAGGAACATTGCAAAACTCCGTCCATCACTCAACCTGGCAGATGCTGAAAAGCTTGTCCACGCTCTTGTCTCCTCCAGGCTGGACTACTGTAATGCACTCCTCATCAGGATTCCTAATAAAAGCATCCAGAGGCTTCAATACACCCAGAACAGCATTGCAAGGAGCATGACCATATCACACCCATCCTCACACCCATCGTCAAATCACTCACTGGCTGCCCGTTGAACTCGGAATTCAATACGAGGTCTCCCTCCTCACACATCAGTGCATTCATGGACATGCTTCACTCTGTCTTAAAGAACTCCTCAGACTTCTTCACACACCCGCCACACTGCCAACCTCCTCAACCCCCCCAGGACCAGACTCTGCACCATGGGAGACCGGGCCTTCTGCCTGGCCGCTCCCTGACTGTGGAATGCTCTCCCTGACCACCTGAGAGCACTGCAGACTGTGAACGCTTTTAAACGCAACTTAAAGACGTACCTTTTTACTAAAGCCTTCTGATGTATTTTATCATGTTGTCTGTTTTTAACTCTTAGCATAGCATATCTGCACTGCCTTCTGTAGCACTCTGAGATTTGTTTTTTTTTATGTAAAATGCGTTACAAATAAAATGTATTATTATTATTATTATTATTATGACTTTACAGACTTAACATAACTATGCAAAGGACCTTACATAGGTACTTTGTGTAATAACGCAGCATACTTACGTTTACATCACTTGTGTCCTGTAGGTCTACATAGTTATTTTTATCTAAAACCACATTTTCTCCTAAACTTAACCAAACTGCAACTGTTTTCACAATGAAACTGCAACCGCTCATACTAGACTTTGCATTGGCATTGTTTTCATATTGCCAGCATATCATTTTCACACAACTCCAGCCCACCACCACGTAATGCAATGTTAAGAGGTTGTGTCCATTTCACATATTACTGTGAAATTGTGTTAGATTTTGTGGACCCACAGAATGTTTGTTTTTTTATTTACCTAAATGAGCTTTATTTCATTGTAGTGTACTCAGTTGTGAAACAGGAAATGTACCCATATACTCAGAACATTCTCCTGGGTGCTCTCAGCGTCATCTAGAACATTTCTACCAATTCATCGTCTGTGGAGCAGCTCCAGACTTAATACCCCATGATATCACCCATTTAAGTTTTAGCCCTCTAGTTTTTAGATTTGGGTGACAGTTGCTAATGTTTACTAATAAAATTGGATCGTGTTAGGCAATAGGTATAACATACATTTTGGAAATGGGCAAAATTCACCAACATAATTACAGGAAAACCATCAACCCTAAATAAAGGAAAGGAAGGAATGGTTGGTGAGCAGAGCAGTAGAGTACTCCAGCAACCAGATGGCGTGGTTGATGAGAGGTCTGCCATATGGTGATAATTCGACGGCCTGGCAGTCGGACAACACCTCAGGTTTAACCTCATTTACACCAACACAAACACACACACACACAAACACACACACACATTACCTCCCATAGCCTCCACAGTGCTCTGTTCTGTGCAGTTAGAGACCATGGATCATGTTATGCTGTGCTAGCCCACTGTGCACCACAGAGTTCATCCTTAACACATGTTGCTAACATCCATCACAGATTAAAAGAGAGAGAGCATGGGAGTGGACGTCAAGCTGAGAAAGAAGCAGAGCCAGAAAGAGAGAGACAGACAAAAAGTCTGGAAAGAACTTCGACTAGAGTAAATATGTTTTCCCCAACAAATGTTGCTGTCCTCCTCCACAGTCATTGACCCATAACTGCACGCCTGCAATAGTGAACTGCACCAATTCCCCAAGTTTATTCAAAATCTGATGAGTTTTGTCTGAGATATTGCTTCAGACATATGGATAAACAAGTAAACACTGTACTGAGCTAATCAGCATAAGCGGAAAGAAGCATAATTCCCCTGAGTTTCCTCAAAATTGGATCAGTGATATCTTAGAAATCACATCTGACAAAAGCACAAGCAAACCAGCAGATGGACGGAGACAGACTTGAAGCTCCCTCCATTTCATTGTGGGGACAAAAATGTGCAAGATATTAAATTCATTATATAGAGACAAGATGGTGGATACTCTGGAGCCTTACACTGTGAGGCTTAGTCGTTTAGCTGACATTTACTTAGAGCAATGAACAGATAGATAAAGCTGCAGAAGTTTGTTGGAAAAGTCATCCAAGTTCCACAACACAAACTCAAACGTCCAAAGTTTCAGCCACTTTACACCACAGGATTTCAATCCATGTCCTCAGGAAGTCGACTACTGCTGCTTTTTGTTCTACCAAAGATTTAAATGCATGTCGTTCCAGGTGTAAAATGGTCCATGATTATGCAGTATATAAAGAATGGAAACCAGCGGGACTTAAAGCTTCAAGTAAGAAAAGCACAAAATTACATCCAGATAAAGGGAGACAGCCTATTCAGATTAAAAGACCCATCATTACACCACCCACAGTATGTTTAAGATGCAGCAGAAACAGCAAAATACAATCATATCATCAGAGATCATGAGCAAAGAATATCTGAAGATCCATCCAGATACATAACCTCACCAAAACCAGAAACTGTGTCAAAGAGAGGAGACTGCAATCTAGATTTTGTTTACACTATTTTTTAGAGAGTGGAAGGACTAGCCTAATACATGACTGTACACTTTATATACATTTTATATAATATTGTACGATAGTTTCCATTGTCTTTGTCATTTGCTGTATCGTGGTATTTGTTTCCATTTCTTTCATATGTAATGTATTATTATTTTGTAGTGTGTGTGTGTATTACATACATATACTGCACATATATTATACAACATCATATACTTTAATATATTGTTATGTGTACTGAATTTATTATTCATTCTTATACCTATACTCATACACAGTGCTTACACCATGGCTGCAGGAATTGCTCTACTGGATTTTTTTATTCCTTTTGTGGTTTTATATAATGTCATGTAATATATATTGTGTATAGGTTTTTAATGTAACCTCTTTAAAATAGCTTAAATTCTTATTTCTTTTTCATTCATTTCATTTAAAAAGTACTTTAAGTTTTTTCTTAACATGTACATTTCCCCCGGAGATCATTCACCTCATCTTATTTCATATTGGAGGAATAATGCTGGTACCTTGTTGGTGGTAGAGCAGTAGCCGTCCCTTCTCCAACACCAAAGTGAGGCTGTGATCTCTCTGTCCCTCCGCATGTAGCAGTGTCCCAGAATTCCTTAGGGTCTTAAACTTTAGAGAGACGACCTCCATCGCTGTCCAACTCTGCCTCACACTCCACCTGTAGACCAGGCTGCTGCTTCCGTCAAAGTTGGCCACGTCAGAAGCTATAGAACGACGGAGAAAGAGGAGAAGGAAGAGCTTTATATTTTTCCAACAACAGATGTACACTTTATTCTTCAGTAACTGTAACAACCGACATTTGTCAATTTATATTACAACCCTGGTTCCAAAAAAGTCTGAAACTTAAACAAAAGCAGAATGCAATGATGTGCAAATACTTTGACCTCTAATCAATTGAATACAGTACAAGACAAGATATTTAATGTTCAGATTGAAAAAAAAATATTTTGCAAAAATACAGTATTTTAAGTTTAATGCCTGCAACACATTTAAAAAAAGTTGGGACAGGAACAAAAAAGGACTGGGACAATTATGGAATGCCTAAAAAAAAATCAAACAAACAAACAAAAACAGCTGGAACATTCCACAGGTAAACAGGTTACTTGGTAACCAATGACAGTGTCATGATTGGGTATGAACGAAGCATCCTCGGAAGGCTCAGTGGTTTATACGCAAGGACAGCGCAAGGGTTACCACTTTGTGAAAAACTGTGTGGGGTATTAGTCTAACAGTTTAAGAACAATGTTTCTCAATGGACAATTGCAGGAATTTAGGGATTTTACAATTCTATAATCCACAATATCATCAAAACATTCAGAGAAGTCAGAGAAATCTCTGCATGTAGCGGGCAATGCTGGAAACTAACATTGAATGCCCGTGACCTTAGACCCCTCAGAGCGCATGTACTGATTTACTATATGGGCTCAGGAACACTTTGGAAAACCACTGTCAGTAAACACAGTTTACGCTGCATCTACAAATGCAAGTTCAAACTCCATCATGCAAAGTGAAAGCCATTTATCGACAATATCCAGAAACATAGCTGACTTCTCTGGGCCTAAGCTCATCTGAGATGGACTGACACAATGTGCTGTGGTCTGACGAGTCCACATTTCAAATTGTTTTAGAAAATTATGGATGTTGTGATCTCCGGGCTAAAAAGAAAAAGGACAATCCAGATTGTTACCAGCACAAAGTTCAAAGCCAGCATCTGTGATCATATGAGGGTGTGTTAGAGCCCATGGCATCAGGGCTTACTTGCACATCAGTGAAGGCACCATGAATGCTGAAAGGCACATACAGGTCTTTGGCAACATGCTGCCATCCAGATAACCTCTTGTTCAGGGACACCCGTGCTTCCTCCAGCAAGACCAATGCCAAGCCACATTCTATATGTGTTACAACAGCGTGGCTTCATAGTAAAGAAAGACTCAGTCAAATGAGATGTCATGTAGATAGTTTCATACATATTTCTTTTGGTATCTTTGGAATCTCCACAAGAAGTTCTGTGAGTTTGATCAACGTTTGGCTGAAAAGTGTGATCTTGAACATGAGGTTAGAGAGGTTACAGTGAAATATTTCAAACCCTGTTCTAACTTGGAGAAAGCGAGCCTACAGAAGAAGTGTGAGCTTGTAAATAAAGAAATGTTGCAGAACAGCAACAAAGCAAGACTGATCTTGACATTCAATTTAGGGGTTTTTGTTGCAGTGACTTCAAATGCTTGAATTGCTTGTATTTCACAGCGGAGGAATTGTTCATGGACTGTACTGTATATTTTCTCCAAGTTTCACCAAACACCATCCGAGACAATGTGGTCACTGTAAACCTCACAAACAACAGCCAGTACTTTCTAAAGCATGACTGTATTTCTATTGTTTGATGATATCGATTTCCTCTCTGAACAAACGGTTTCTAATGAGCAAGCTAACTACTGGCCCCTTAACATATAAACCCTTCAAACCTCACAAACACCATACGGTCTAGTGTCTGCAGAGCAGAGCAGCAAAAAGACCAGCAAGAGTAATTAACCTTTACTGTTGTGAAAGCAGAATCTGTGCGAATTTGTGAGAAAAAAATAATAATAGTTATGTGTTTCTGGTACGGTCAGAATTTTGCTCAAAGCTGACACTAAGTATGGTTTAGGTTACATTTACAGTGACCCCTGCAGAATTCTTCATTAAAGGTGACTAATGGATTGTGTCCACTGTCAATCACTTGTTCTCTGTTTCTTCTTTGGAGTCTCTACTTTCAAGTTTTTGGTCCTAAGCACCTGCCAATGTAGACTTAGTCTTTAGACGCTTTGCTTAACTAAAGACTGATGTCTTTCTCCCTGATTTTGTGTTTAGATGGGCAGATACAATTTCAGAGTTTAAAAAGACTCCCTACGTTGCAGAACCAATAGTAAATCCGCAGAGTGGTCCTTTGGTGGCTCGCTGAACTCTTGTGCTCGTAAACATAGTCCGACTGCGTTAAAAGTTTTAAACAAAGTCGCTGTAAGTCCTTCATTTCCACAATCTTGTGGACTGAGCACACGTTTGATAAAACGGAGTTAAATCTCTCGTCATCCATTTTCAAGCTCTCTGTGTGTTTGTGTCCTTGCAGACGAGAAAAGGGGGAGCGCACATTTCAAGAAGGGCGTGTCCTTTTAAAAAATGCAAGAGGCGTTGCTTTGTTGCCGGCCGTTTTCTCCGGTGTGTTAAACACACTTTAGAAAGGAGTGTCCCCAGACTATCAGAAGGTGGAGATTTCTGATTGTCTGGTGGCGAGACTACTGCCAATGAGACTGGTTATTGTTTTAAAAAGTGACCAATACAAAAAAGCATATACAGTATATATATATATATATATATATATATATTAGTGTCGAGACTGATGATGCTTTTGGAGATATGTATGTTTGTTTATCAAAATTGCACCATATTTCTAATAAACCTCCTGCAGAGAAAATGTTAGCCGTTTTAATTCAAACAAAAGAAAATAAGTTGCTGATAACTACAGCATGCACGTTCTTATTATGCCTAGAGGGGATTGTGCATTGTGTATCTGTCAGCAGCTAATCTCACAAACTACTTTTTCTTGCTCTAAGATGTGACAAGTCTAAACTTTAAAGAATGGGAAAAAGAAAGTGAGCCTGTTTGAACCATAAAGTAATCTGTCTTTGTGCCAAAAAACAATAACCAAAATTCCCTGTATAAATAAACCCAGTACTAAATGCAGTATAGAAGATAGCATAGGCTTTGGAAATTGAAAAAAGTGAATGGCTCCTTTATTAAATACATGCAGCATCTTTGCTTTATGCCACTAAATAGACATTTTACACTTACTGCAATAATAAATACTAAAATGAAAATAAGCCACAACAGGAAAATTGAAAATCCAGATACATGACTGCCCAGCCATCTTTTTTTTTTTTTATTAAAGGATTAGCACCAGCCAATACTGACAAAGAAGTCAAATATAGGGATCAGACTTACTATATCGACATCCATATATCTCCAGTCTGAGTCCAATCCTCCCAGTGGGGTTCCAATCCAGAGGAATCAGACGGAGGTAGCGAGCTATTACCGGCTGTTTGAGTTTGTACTGGACCACAGTGTCTGCATTACTGTTACCTGGAAAAGCCTGAAACAACAGAACATGTTAGTCTGCCTGATTTTTATATCCAATCATTAACGTTTCCCGGGTTGCTGCAGCAGTCTGATAGCAAACCATTTGTAGTCATTAGTTCCTCAAGTAGCCTACACAGGAACCAAAGACCTTTTGTGGGTATATTTTGATACTCATAAACTAAGGAAATTTATTCTCTTTTTAAGTTTTGTAGCTTCTCTCTTCTGACATGAAGTGAGATATGTAGATAGAAACAACAACCTTTAAAAGAGAGAGATGCACTAGTTCTGCAGAAAAAGTCCCCCTAACCTCCCAGATCCTGACACAGCTTCTTTGCATTTTCAAACTTTGAGCTCACAGAGGCCATTGATCCTAACTGCTGATAATGTCTCTCCCTCTCTCTGTCCTGTGATCAATAACTCTGGGACCTATTCTGTCTCCGTACCAAGCCTCTCTTAAAAGACTAATGGCTTCTATTTTCCAAACCAGCTGCCTGTGGGAATCCAGAGGGATTCTCTGTTTGACAGGTAAACAGCACACGCAGAGCGACACATGCATTGACATCTGTAAGGAAAAAAAACAAGCTGCATTTGTGGATACGTGGGCATGTGCTCTGCTAGTGTCTGCCCTGCCTACTTAAGTGTGTGTGCCCACTGAGTGTGTACTGATGTGGCTACGTGAGTGAAATTGGCTTTCCTGGCGCTGCATAATTGTGATCTCAGCTGTCTTAAGTGCTTTGAAGGGCTGAGCCGGCTGGGCAGCGGAGCGTTAAGCTCAACAAACGGCTCTGTTTCCTGCTGAGGAGGCTGAGGAGAGCGGCATCTCATTTACTTGCCTGAGCATGTTTTGAAATATGAGTAGCTTCTGACAAGACCTCAATCAAGGAGAGAGAGGAGGGGAGAGCATGAGACGAAGAGGAGGGGGAGGGAGGGCATGAGAAAGAATCAGAGAGCAGGTGCAGAAGAAGTTCTTTGGTGTTTTACTTTAGTAAAAGCAGCAACATTGTAAAAGTACTCCAATACATGCAAAAATCCTGCATCAAAAACGTTCCTCAAGAAAGAGTACATATGTATTATTGGCAAAGTTAGCAAAGTGAACATGTGGAAATAGACCATTTTCTTGCTTTAACTAATCATTCACACTGCCACCATTATTGGCAGTATTATTATTGGTTAGCATTGTTGCCTCACAGCAAGAGGGTTCCTGGTTCAAACCCAGGGTGGTCATGCTCCTTAAAAAAGTGAGAATTTGAAGCTTTGTGGGTGGCTATGGCGCAGGAGGTAGAGCGAGTCGCTCACTAATCAAAAGATCAGCAGGTCGATCCCCAGCTGTCAAAGTATCCTTGAGCAAGATACTGAACCCCAAATTGCTCCTGATGGCTGCTCTATCAGTGTGTGAGTGTGTGTTAAAAACTGAGTAGTGGCACCTTGTGCGGTAGCCTTGACCACCAGTGCATGAATGGTGAATGTGACTTGAAATGTAAAAAGCGTTTTGAGTGTTTGGGTGACTAGAAAGGCTCTATACAAGTGCAGGTCCATTTACTATTTACCATTTATAAAGTAAATGTGGACTGCACAATGTGATGTGCACAAGAATAATGACACCATCTGCGTTTAGACTGCTTCCTGATAAAAGTGGCTTTCACTGTGGAATTCTTTCTGCAACCAGTTACGATCTTCCGTGAAAATTAAGCCTCAATTTGGAACACAAAGGAAGTGCGTCACCCATTGTGCAAACAAAACAGGAAGAGGATAGCACCTTTGTTTTCCCTGGTAGCCAAAGTCACCAAAGAGTATCAGTGTAAGTTCTCTGCATTTAATATCCCCAGAAGTGGAACAACCCAAGAAACTGTGTAAACTGTTGTAGGGCTGTACCCAAATATTCGGATATTCGAATATTCATTTCTATGGGTAGGTATTCGTTATGAAAATTTGGTATTCGATATTCGTTTTTTATTTACTTATTTTTATTTATTTATTTATTTATTTTTACATATTTTTTTGGTGCTAAATGTAGTCTTTTTGTTGTTGGTGAATGTAGGTTATCAATAAAAATCAAAACTTTTAAATTGCATTGTTAAAAATGTGAAAATATAGTATAGCCTACCAACTGAGCTTGTGCACACGGCAGGCTTGAGTGCATCCGTCTGAGGCTGTGGATCAGTGCCAAGTTTTACCACTTTATCACTATTCCCTCTAACTTGTAGCTGTTTTTTCGTTATCTTTTGCATTTAATATGAATTATGGAATCGTTTTTGTCAATGTTTGTTTCCCCTGTTTTGTACAATACATTATTGTTTAAAGTTTCAACAAGTTTCTTTTGGAGTGCGTGACACAAGTGTGTTTTGAAAACGACCGCGGACTGTCACCTGCTCAACGCATCAGTACCTTCTGATGCCATGACAGTAATAGCCAATAATGTCAAAATATCATTTACAGACCGATTTAACAGATGATCACTTTTTTTGTGGTTTGAGAGCAAAGATCCGGTCGCTGCTGTGCAAAACTCCACAATACAAATAGGTCAGAAAAAACCCCGGAGGAGTGCTTCGCAAGGCGTCTTTGAAAGGAGCTGAGCCTGGCGTAAAACCGGAGAGAGCAGGCAACACGGCCGCAGCACGGCCACAGCAGATACTGATGTTTTGTCACACCTCTAAGCGTGTGATATCGATGCAAAAGTGAAGTTTTTCAGATGCACCAGGCTTTCAACTAACTCCAAATATAAACCCATCAGCAGCAATACTTGATGCTGATAGCAACTGACATGATATTAAGTGTGAGAAATTCTGGTGGAAGTGGGAGGTAGGGAAGATGGATGGGTCAAACAAAACTGGATTTTGACCCAAGAGACTGCCGTATATGTCTCGTTTGAAACCAAAAGTCAATGTTGTTTTGAGGTAATGTTGAACAATTTACGTACAGCCGTTGCATGCTGACATCACTATATGTAATTATGTCATGTCATATTATGCAATAAACACACTTATTTGAAGTCAAAACATAAGCATTTTTTCTAAACCTAACCAATTAGTTTTATTACCTAAACCTAACAGCGACAGTCTCACAGCATTAACCAGGAGGACAGATAGGCTACGCTATACTAAATATGTGTTACTTTGAGACACAGAGGGATTTGACAAAGTGTCAGTGTTCAGGTTGTTTGTTCTCATGCCCTGTTTGTACGTTTTCCTACAAAAAGTAAAGCACTAAAATTCATACATATCCCACATAATTATGAGCCAGTAATATGTGTACAACTAGGGGTGGGAATCTCTAGGCACCTGACGATTCGATTCGATTCAATTCCGATTCCAAGGGCAACGATTTCGATTATAAAATGATTCTCGATTCTAAAACGAGCCAATAAGAAAATTTACACTTGATATTGAAAAACATTATTGTACAAAGCTGGGAATACATATCCAGTGCATACAAACTGTATTACTTACTGTGGTTGAGATGACTAAACTCCACCAGTCTCCTCCGGTCCATCCTCCTCATCCACAAATCTCAAGGGGACTCTCCTGTCCCTCGTCGACCTCCTCGACATTTCTCCTACAGTATTTACTAAACTATAACTGGCTATAACTATCTATGAACTATAAAAACAAGTACTATTGCAAAAAAGAGGAACGATGGCAAAACTACGAATTATGGTGAAAACAAGATGAAAACACGGCATAAAAAAACTCAAAAGCTCTCAAAAAACCACAAATACTATTATTTACAACACTAAATATTATTTACAAAGGAAACGCCACCCAAACTCCACTTAAACTCACCAAAACTCTGCTAAAACACCGCTAAATCACTCCAACTCGCACTCTCCTCGTCAGCCGTCACTCTCCTCCTGCTGTACTCACTTCCCTCCCCTCCTCCACAGATAATGACGTCACTACCATAATCGTATATCATTGGAAAGCTCCGCTTCTTAGCTTTCAGAATCCATTGGAATTACGTCGATAGCGTAATGGTCGAGGAGTTACGGTAATTTGAATAATAAAAGTAAAAATAAAATTAAAATCGATTATGAGTTTTCCAAATCGATGCTCGCATCGTTCAAGACAGAATCTCGATGCATCTAAAAATCGATTATTTTCCCCACCCCTATGTACAACCCATGTACTTGGGGAGGCTGTGATCATGTGACCAATGCACTGATGGGGTAAAGAAAGCAGGTGGGTTACAGAGGACTTTACCCTGGTACTTTACCCAGGAGACCGGTGTTATTTGCTTCCACTTTAAAGTAAAAATACAAAGTGCAGCAAAATGGATAAGTGTTGTAATTTAGGGGAGTAGAAGTCTAAAGCAGCATGAAATGGAAGTACAAGTATGTCAAAATGGTACTCAAGTACAGTACATGAGGAAATGTATTAAATCACTTTCTACTACTGGAAAACTAAAATAGCAGAAATTAGTTAGAATTACTCCGTACAAGTACCTCAAAATTGCTCTTAAGTACATTACGTAATTTATTTCCCACCACTGGAGAGCAAAGGGAGAAATACGGAGCATCTAGCTGAGCAGTCAGTAAGAAGCTGCCACGGATACTGCTGTTTTTGCAGTCAAATCTCCTCCTTACCTGACATACTAAGCTGGCCTGACTAATACATGGAGCTTTAAAAACACTCTGAGGGCTGATCTTGGTTTATCACCTTTCATGCTGAGTGTCAAACCAACAAGTTTTTAAGCTGCAAGAAGTCATGCCCTGCTCTCTCCCTCTTTAGTGATGACTCCCAGGCTTCACAGACTTTGTATCCTTCACTGTGAGAAAATCGCAACCTGTCAAATGTGAATCAAAAGCTGTTCTCCGGGCCGCTACTGTAACAAGAAGGGTGTACTGTCTTTCATAAAGGAGAGAGGAGATGCTTGACTGCCTCTGAATCACAGCTAATGCTGTTTAATCAACGGAGGCCCGCATGGCTTCCTGTCATGCTGACATGCAGTACTTTGCTTGGTGGTAATCAGTCATTCTGCTGTCTAGTATTCCCTCTAAACACGGGGTGTGCACTGGCTTAAAAATGCTATAAAATGCTGAGAAATAAGGATTTTCAGAGTGAAAAAGAAACACTAGGGAACACATGCAGACATGAAAGCAGAGGAGAGTGCCTCAGCTTTGACTTCTCCCCCCGTCTGCAGGGAGGACATCAGAATATTTAAGTCCACCACATGCACGTCTCAGTCCTCATTCACATTTACATTTTAGACACTGAGCTGACACGCTTATCAAGACTGGCTCACAATGACTGAGCTGGCAAGTGTTCCATCAGCGTCTTGCTTGGAAACTGATGATGGACACCTACGCCTCGGCAGGAATCAAAGCTGTGACTTTTTTGTACGCCAGGCAGTCTTTTCTAACAACAGCACCAGCCTCCCGTCAGCAGAGGTTCAACTGTTTGACAGCAGCTCCGTGCAGTCGACAGAGCCCTGCCCAGGTTCCTTTCATTGTTCCATCCATTATTAATAAAGAGTGAAAGACTCCTGGTGAGCAGGCTTGCCGCTGCAGGCAGTACCAGTCCCCACAGATCATGTAAATTATGTCTATGATAGTGAGGCCAAATATATTTTAACTTCAGTGAACCTGAGTTTTGAGCTCCTGTACCTCCAATACTGTCTTCATACCTGTACAAATACATACTACGGATTTAAACGTGCAAGGTTTTACCCAAACAACTAGTTTTTCATGAACTTTCTAGAGGCAGCCATGGGTTTTAATACATTTCAATACAAAACACTAGCATGGATGTGGCATGTTAGCCAGGAATTAAAAAAAATTGCAAGCTACCTTTTCAAATTTTGGGACTATGATGATGTTGTCCACATGCATGCTAGCTTTTGTACACTCTACTTTTTATATTCTGTGTACCATAGTGCTTTACGATTTATAACCAACTCTGGTTGCCGGGCTCATCAATGTACGATTTATGATTCGGTAGACTGGCTGACACTAAATCTGGGTAGACAATTTCATTTGTATATTTTGTGTACAAGGCCATGATGGGTAAACTTCCCCAATATAATCTCCTGACTCAGACCTGCAGCACTCTCCACCGTTTTTCCACCAACATGGACCAGGTTCTGTACCAGTTTCCTGCTCCTAATTTTGAACCTTTCAAAGCATTTTGACCAAAAACTAATTGATCCTCAGCTGATGGTTGGGCGTGTGGCTGTGGCTCAGAGGTAGTGCGGGTCGTTTACTTATCGGAAAAAGCGGCGGTTCAAACCATGGCTCCTGTAGCCCGCATGTTGAAGTATCCTTGGGCAAGATGCTGAACCCCAAATTGCTCTCAATGGCTGTTCCATAGGTGTGTGGGTGCAAGTGAATGGTTACTGAGTAGCAGGTGGCACCTTGTATGATAGCCTTGGCCACCATTGTGTGACTGTGTGTAAGAATTGGTGAATGTGACATGTAGTGACAAAAATGCTTTGAGTGGTTGGAAGTCTAGAAAAGCACTATACAAGTGCAGTCCATTTACCGCTACCATATTCTACAGGTGGGAAAGAGGATGAAGAAAACAAGTTAGGAATCACTGCTGGTAGCTGGTTCAGGCTTGTTTCTAGATAAAAACAAATATCTGCAATAACAGAACAAAAGCTTGCAGGTGATTAATGTGATCCAGCCTCTTGCTACTATTGTTTACTTCAGTTGTGTATTGTGTAATGACCTTGTGTAATGATGATACATCTGTGATTACAATGGTTCTGATCAACACTGGTGGAGAGTCCTGAACAGAACATGTTCAAGAGCCAGACCTTATTAGATGGAAAAGGAGTATATATATATGACCTTAGGCTCTCATAGGCTCTCACTCTGATCTACATTGATGGAAATACAACACCTGCATGAACACATTAATTGTAGCCTTGAGATGCAATGATGTAACACCTCAAAATACCGTCTCTGCCCAAACAGCGCTCAAACAATGGCCGAGTTTGAAAGAGCAACTTAAAAAGTAAGAGGTATAAGGACAGATTACAGATTACTAACCTTTTTTCAGTCAAGCCATGATGTCGAATGTGACACACCAGAAAAAAAACAACAACAAAAAAAAAGCACAGACCATGATTTTCTGTGTTTAAAAAACCTGCATACACATGTGCTAATTTCTGTGGAAAAAGGTTAGACTGAGAAATGCATCTGTTTTTATTTGAGCTGGATTTAGTCTCTGCCTTGTGTTTTTGATGATTGTGTTTCCTTTGTTGTGTTTTATCTCTTTTTGACTGTGACTGGTGTGCTGTCTTGGCCAGGTCTTCCTCGGAAAAAAGATTGCCATATCAAGGGACGTCCTGTTAAAATAAAGGTTAAATGAAGATAATGTTTTTCTTTTTGGTTATATATTTTTTGTCACAGTTACTTCGTATCAAAAAACATTTTTCGACCTTTTTTTCATACTATGTAGAGGGTTGCTTCAATAGCCATAGAAAATGTTTCAAATCTTCATACCACAGTGAAATTAATGTTGTACAATATGTCATTGGGCGCAGTTACATGATGGCTTCTCATTCAGAATGAAATAAATCTAAATGAAATCAGAAAAGAGTTTTTCCAGGTAGTTTACATGAGAAGTATTCATTCCAAATGAGGGTTTACAAGGGAGATCAGTTCAATCGCCTTTATTCGGGTCTGCACAAGGTTTGGGGCAGGGAAGGTTTCTGATTGGATAGGGGGCGGGGCGGATGTTACGTGTTTATATTTACTGGAAGAAAACACTGTAGTCCTTGTTCCAGATAACAAGATGTTTGACGACACCGTTCTTAGTGCCTTTTTCAGGCTATTTTTTATTTATATTCTTGAAGCAGCAGTACGACAACAACCTTGTTCTGCTAATGCTTTGTCTGTTGAGGAGAAGAGAGGCAGAAGGTCGAGGAAGAGAGATAGACGACTGTGCTTGGCAAATGGAAACCGGTGAGTGCAACGAGTCCGACTGCTCTATCTCAGCCCGTTGCTATGCGTGCTATATGTCATCGTGCCAGAAGGGCAAGGAATACTCCATACTCCAAGATGGATTTTTGGACAAACATATCTGGAAGACATTTATAGTGTTGTACTTGTTTGTATAAAAAGTGATGAAAATTGTCATGTTAAGATTAAAGACTGAGCGAAGAGGGCTTGAGTGAGAAATTTGGTTGATGTACTATGCCTTAATTGTTGCCATAAAATAGCTTCATCAGTAAGGACAGCCACTTTTTTTAAGTCAGTTTGCTACCTCAGCACACAGCACGTTTTCATCTATGTATTTAAGCTTGATTCAGTCCTCAACATTTAGTACTTGGTGCTCCCTTTTATATAGCTTCTACTGAGTACTGTGTTTTTATGGAAATGTGTTCTATTGTGTCCTGACTGGATGTGATATGATGTGTTTTGATGTCTTTTCTCCCCTTCCTTTTTAATAGCTGGTTTTGCACATGCAAACCAAAGACACATTTTTGCCTTTTGTATTCAAAAAGTAGACAATAAAACACTTCTGTTTTATTCGTTCTGTTCTAATTATCTGCTGTCTGAAGCAATGTTACTATGTCTACAAGCATTTACTTGCTGATGTGTTCAGCCCCACTGACCTGCAGTGTAAGTGCTAACTAACCCCATTCCTTCAGCTGACCAACATGTTCAGCTTTTGTGTGAACTGTTAAAGTTTCTTCAATGCTAAACTGGTCATCAAACACCTGCACACTGACTCAAACTTTCAATGTTAATCACATTTTCATGAGATAAAAATACAATTGGATCAAAGTGGCATGCAAAAGTTTTCTATTTGAATAAATGTGTGGTTTGGAGTCAGTGAGTAGACATTATTTTCTGATGCTGTTTCCCAATAGCCTTGCACCTACAGTATAGGCAAGCCTGTCCCCTGAAATTATGCTGATACCCTTCATGGTTCCAGCTTACATTTGGTGTGGCCAAGTAATTTCTGCCTGGATTATGTTCACTGCCAATTTTTTTTCTAGTGCAGAAAAAAACAGTAATCTTAGTAAATAAATAACAATTACATAGCAATTGTGCTTTTCCTCTTTGTACTATTTTGTTTACTGATTACTGCAGGAGAGTTACCCCGAAGCTGTCTTCCTGTCGATGTTGTTTCCAGTTGTGTCCTGTGTCACTGAACATCAACAGGTAAGCCGTCAGCCAATCAGAGCTGCCGTAGCGTCCCTGTGTAGCGACTGCAGTGATCCGGGTCCGCCTCCCCAGATCCACCTCCAGCCACTGGTATCTGTCTGAGACGAGGGGAGACCAACCTCCGGCTCCTGCATGGGGACAGCGACAAAGAGTGTGTGTTAATGATGAGAAGTGTGTGTGTGTGTGTGTGTGTGTGTGTAGAGAAGAGGGTGCTGGCAGAGGTGAATGAAGAGAGAGCGAAGGTCGGGAGAGAAATTGTAGAAGTGATATGTGATTCATTACATTTTAATCTTCTTGAAATGAATCTTTAAAACTGTGAATATATACTCTGGAGTAGACTCTCCGTGCTGCGATTTTAAAACTAGCCAATAATAAATGTCACAGTTTGGATATGAATACAAACTGCTTGTTTATATGTTTCCATAATGTCCACAGATTAGCAGTCAGAAGTCTACAGATGACAAGAATGTCAAAGACGAGGGTTAATGTACTGGGAAGGTACATTAGCTGATGCTTTGTTCCTAGAGTTATTAGTAGTTAGCACATTTGGAGGAAATCCTGCTTTTTAGTTGAAATGTTGCAAAATACAGTATAAACATAGTTTATCCCATTTCTGGCTTTGATTTAAGTCCACTTACACGCTCACAGATTTAAAACCCTGCAATATGTCAAACACTTCCTCTGGTTTCATGATGATAAATAATAAATCCTCATAAGCAAAGACATTAAGCGGGATATATTTGAGTCACAAACACTTGAAGGAAATGGATTAGACTGCGCAGCATCAGGATGGTATTTAAAGCAATTTGATGACTCTCCACAACTGAAGTGTCAAGATGTGTCCTTCCATTTAATGTATCTGCTCGGGTTTTTATGGCACTATGAAGGTGACAACGCTCTGAGGGTGAGTTAGAATATGCTGAGAAATCATTCACATTTCCACAATGATATGACCTAAATCACTCAGCTGAGGCCTTTGTCTTTTCAACAGTGATTTGCGGCGCTGACGTCCCTCCTATGTTTTTCAGGGTAACATGCCCCGCTTCTGTCCTAGCGACAGCTGTTACAACAACTGGAGAAGACATGCAGGGATGTATGAGACTAACTCACACTGTGTTCATATTATAGTCTAGGAAAAAAAGTTTGTCCCATTAGAGCAGTGCAGCTTTGTAAGATGTCTGTCGCTTCAACAGCAACCTCCCATGGAAAACTGACAATATATGAAAACAATTAGATTTTGATACCAGAGTATACATTAAAATAATGTAGTGTCTCTATCCTCCCATGTGAAAAAAGTCACAGTGCAGCAGTTGGGCTATTTGCATTCATCTCTACAACGTTATTGTGGATCCCACTGTGTGCTGTGATTGACTAGTGCTTGTCATGTTAATGCGTCAAGGTCTGAAGAAGTAAGAGTTAGGGCTAAGAGGTCTTGGTTAGTACCAGGCAATTTCAGATACTCTCACAAATGCACTGTGAGAAAGTTGGGTGAGTCAGGTGTAGTATAAAGAGGCACACAATCCATGGAGGTAGTAAGATGTGATGGGTTCGTAGGTTGAGCACAGGCCTTTCTCACAGGGGACTGGGGTTAAAGTCCTGCATGAGTCAGTGTTAGTTTATTAGTTTTAGACTGTGTGTAAAGCTGCTGAATGCACATTGTGTACATAACTTTAGCAGAGCAGCTTAATAGATCTGTTTGCGTTTATATCATACCTCCATGTTGCTTAGACACCCCAGAATATACAAGCCTCTGCCTTAAAATAATCCTTTTGCTAGCAAAGTGTGACTGGCTATTTCTAACATTTTATTTTCAGTTTAAAATATATGAATGGTATTAATATAAACCCTTTATTCACTGTTATTTTACACTTGTAGGGAGGCAATGGAGGAAACTGGAAAGATTTCACTTATACCAAAAGAAATCCTCGGGACAATGTACAGTATGTCACTACATCAATTCTGTGTAGTATTTCAACACCTTTAGTTACTTTGGGTAGAAAAAGGCAAATGTTTACATCAGCAGACACACAGGTCTCTAAATCAAAGTTATGTTTAGAAACTTTATGCATTCTGTAACCAGAGTAGCTTGAACCTAAGCACCAAAATCAAGCATGACAGTTTGTAATGACCTTTAATATACTGCTTGTCAATCACAGAACAAGCAGGAAGGTAAAACAGTGAAAGTCAGCTTCCTAAACACAGGTTCAGTCCAATACTTTGCCATAGCCTGCCAGAGCAGAGAGCTGGTGAGTCAATGTCATCTACTGAAAGCACACAAACAGCAAAGTTCAAAAGTTTGCAGCAGTAACCATCAGGGAGCAGGCAGGAGGCGACATCAGATGAGCAGAGAATCCGATACCTGGAGAACACACCAAGGGAGCCAACACACCTGTGAGGAGCCGGCTGCAGGTTGGTTGGAACTGGCGTGGATCCCATGGCACACACACAAATGCAGAATGTGCAGCCAAGTGGCAAGGTAATCCACAGCACAGGAAATGACAGGCAGCTGAACAGGTAAACTCATAACATTGAGCTGACTGGTAGTCTCTCCACACAGCCACAGGAAACAGGTGAACAGAAACAAAGAATGTGGGAGCAGAGGTCTTGGGTGAGAACAGAAGGCTGAATGGTTTACGAAGATGCAGGGTAAACAGGAGAGTCAAAGGCAGGCTGGCAAGGAGGAGGCAGTCTGGTAATGCTCTGGAAAGTCTTGCATAGGTATGACAAAGACCAATCTGATAACAAGAGTCCGTGAAGCTGGAGTATTTATAGTGACGAGGAGTAATGAGGTGGTTGTGGTGGACCAGCAGCAGGAGATGTGTTAACAGGTTATAGGCTGGCAGGTAGGTGTGGTGGAAAGGCGGGGCATGAAGGCATGAAAAAGGCCCTTTAATGTCAATGTGATGACAGATGAAGTGATATTATATAGTATATACTAAATGAATTACAAATATATAACACATAATACTTTTTTGAAGTATTCACCTTGGCAGCAACATCAGCCTTGAGTCTATCTGTAAAGGTCATTGTGTTTTTTTCCAAATTTGTTTTCAAAAAGATTCTATATTGCAAAAGATCATATAGTACGTGTTGCACTGTATCACTGCAGAGTTACAATATATATTGGTAAGGGTTAGGGTAAAACTGTCAGGATTAGCCTACCAGAGGCAGAGTACGGCGGGTCATGCCTTTCCTTTCCTAGAAAATGCGTATTCGCAAAAGGTATACCATCAGCCTTTTTAGCAAAATTTTACATTTTTTAATAGAAGCAAATTTGTTAAACTGATTTCACCCTGATATATATATATATATATATATATATATATATATATATAGATAGATAGATAGATAGATAGATATATTATCATCTTAACAACCACCCTGTGGGCCCTCACATGATTTTGATGATTATAATATGTAATTGTACATTTGCTTTGTTTAAGTGGTTTACTAATACAACCTACTGTTTGATAGCTATCCTTGCAGTTCGACTAATGCAGATCATTTCAAGGTACAACCACCACAGCAGGTTGAATAAATGCTTTTGTCAGACAAAAAACAAACAAATATGTATAACCCACTCATTGTGCCTTATCATAATCCACAGATTTATACTATTACAACAAAAACAGTCCTCATACATTCCCAAAGGTCCAGACAATCTCAATCCAGTGTAATATTTAGTCCAAAAATATTATTACATCCATAGATATCCACTTACTGCCATTGCATCAGTTCAAATGTTTATATTTCTCTTCTTATTGTACACAAATGAAATCTATTTTGTGTATAAACACCTTGATACTTGATACTAAACTGGTGGCCAAACTCTGACCTTTTGATTGACACCCCAGTTGAGCCAATAGGTGCTTCCATCTCCTCTACACAGCCAACAAGAGCCTGTGTTGACAGGAAGGGCTTGCCTTACTTCCCTGGTTACAGAGCCAATTGCAGGCAAGCAGCTGACCTTGTGTCTTGTAGGTGTTGTCGTTAGTGATGCTCCTAACCTGAGGAGGAGTTTTGAACTCATTTCTGGTGGCCTAGACTGCCATCAGTGTATATGAATGATAAACAAATGGCTCCTTTGTTGTCTTGGAGATAAAAAGTCTTATAAACCTAGGTTTTCTAGAAGTGCTTTCATATGCAGTTAGCCCGTAAATAGGCATCTCTGTCTTTGTTGACTCCTTTTTCACACATAATCACACATTCAGTAGATTGTTTTGAAAGGCGCCTGCGCAGAACCTTAGAAAAACGTGTAAAATGTTTATTTCATGCGATGTTGTTATCTACTTTGGATTTGGACTAGATGAGGCTTCATAATATGGTCCCATTGTGTTTTCCAGCTAATACCTCCCAGTTCTAGTCATCTGCTTTTTTGATAAAATATCAAGGCAAAGAAAAAAGAAAGTAAAGAGAATAAAATTGGGAGAAAGCACAAATGACATGCCATCAGTCCACTGAAGGTCTGGAGAAAAAGAGAGCACTGAGTGGTCATGAAAGAGCAGGAAGGAGAGTAAATGTGTGTTTTTAAGTTTTAAGTTTAAGTTTAAGTTTATTTCCTTTTATTAATCCCCCTGAGGAGAAATTCAATGTTTTCACTCTTGCTTGTCAATTACACACAGGTCCGAAAGACACACACATGCACAAACAGGACCTATACATGCACAAAGTGGAGAGATGTCAGAGTGAGGGGTTTTTTTGCTGTAAAAAGTATTTTAAAGACTGATTTCTACTCTGACTCTTCATCTTTTACACACCTTTAAACATTCAAAATAAATACCGGTATATTCCTGGATTTTTTTTTATAATAATAATGAGCTGGCTTCCTTGTGTCCACTTAAGCTTAAATTTCTAGTTTAATCTTTTGGTACAATATTTCTTTTAAGAATTGAAATAAATGGGCATGGTATTTAAAAGTGATAGCTCAGCAAAAAAACACACAAGTAATAAAATGGCTTGATTTGAAAAAAACAAAAGGCCTCAGCTCTGAGTTAACCTCACAGAGAAGTCCACTTCCAAACAGTAAACAAACAAAGAAACCCTCACAACTTTGTACAGTCTGAATCAATGTGTTTTTATTCAGAAATGTTAAACCTGTTGCAGAAAGTCAGAAGGTCAGAAGGTGAAA